GCAGTTACTCTTCTTTAATAAAATAAAATGTTTTCTATTGCTTCTTTATTCACCTGTACAGACATTGAAACCCAGCAGTTTAGTAAAAACATTCCGGAGGAAGGTGGGGTTATTGAGTTTTATTGTGGCATGTTATATGTTTCTGTCCCTGGGGTCTCTCAGGACATCAGGCACCCTTTCTCCCATTCTTATGCCTCATTTGTATAATGGGGTTTTTTCTGGCTTTGCTAAAGCATTAGTAATCCAGTTGAGTTCACTTAAAAGCTCAGGCTTTCCCAGAAGAATATTCACCTTCTCAGATGCAGAAAATCCTGCATATCTTGTGTCATTAAATATGTTGGAGTATTTTCAGACAGAGTAGGACAATGATCCTTTTGGTTTGGACAAAACATGGGTCTGACTTCCAAAATTTTTCAAAGAATTCAAGGAGTTAACAGGGTTTCTTTTTGTATTTCCCCCTACAGAACCTTGCTATCAGCAGAGACAAACATAATTCTTGTTCAGTGCTATTCCCTGATTCTGAGAGGGTTTACGCATATGATTAGATTTCAGTGGAGCAGATTGTGTATAAATTTAAACAAGAATTTGTTGCAGGGCTGGAACTATTGTGAATAAGATGCATATTACCCCTGGGATCTTTTGATGAAAGGTGTTGTTATCTGTATCACTCAGATCAGATATGTTGCTTTTACATGAGTGCTGTGGTTGTAATCAATTCATTTTCTAACATTTAAAATAAAAGATACAAACCCTGGATGACCTGAGAAGAGAATCAACATATCACAGGCACTGCATGTAGATTCCTCCCTGGCACAGCTGGCTGACAGGAGTTAAAGGTCATACATTTTTCATGGAGTTAAAGGTCATACATTTTTTTGTGTGTCAGGCTACAGTTTGCACACAGATCAGGTATCTTTGACGATTGTGTTCACACACGCCACATAAAAGTTCTTCCTGCTGACCCTTACAGAGCTTGGAATTAGCTGGCTGGCTAAATTCACACAACCTGATTTTTCTTTTGTGCTGCCCACCACTGCTTGCTATTATTAGACGTGGCAGAATTGTCAAAATGCTCATAAGCAGCCACTGATTTGTGGCCAGAGCAGGAGCACTATGGATAGGCTTGAAAAATGTCATCTGAAGAAAAAAGCATCTGCTGCTTTCCTTGGGAGGTAGTGCAAAAATTTATTAAAATTAAATTAAAGTTTATTTTCTCTCCATGCATTACAGAGACAGAACACAGAGCTGCTTGCAGCTCTTTTCTCACTGAAGGATTCAAACTCATCAGCCCCCTGAGAGCATATGACTGAGGCTCTCATTTGCCTCAGTTTGTGATCCCTGTTATATTCTGTGAGCTATTAAGATGGGCTTAAGGTTCTTGAGGTTCCTTGAAAGAGCACCCCAGAGTTTCCATTGTGGTAGTTTTATTAGACATGTGCCTTTTCTTCAGAAAAAGGCTGAAGTCTTGAGCTTATTCAGGATGGCATGTTTTGCATTAAAATTCAGTTGAATCAGGATTTCACCCAAACTGGTCCACATGTGGTCTCTTCCTAAAGTGCCCACCACCTGAGTGATGAAAGATGTGTGTTCTTTCAGGAGCATTTTGTACAGATTTTCCTGGTCTTCTCCTCATTCCTACTGAGATACTGCTATTTGCCTTCGCACCCAATCATTCTATATAGAGCTAAGAGAAGCTGTATTTAACATGCCCTACAAAGAGCACCACCGATGGGTTTCACCCTTTCTGAAATAATGCAGAACTCAGCCAGAGGCTGAGGGTTGGATGTCTCTCAGAGCCAGTGTGTCCCATAGTCAAGGGACAAAAGTGGCTGTTGCTACAGCATAACCCATCTGTGCTGGGTCAATTTCTACCTTAGGAGCAGATAAATCTGGAAATGGCAATTTCTCTCTGTGGCTGAAATGAGAACGTAGCCAGAGAGTGCAGGTACAGACACTTGTTTTGTATACATGTAAATTGCATACACAAATCCCTGCCCATGTGTGCTGAGCAGGAATAAAGCTCTGGTGGCAAGTGGGATAAACAGTGCAAAGTCCCACAACCCTACAGACTCGAACAATTTTGCGGACACCACCTGTCTGTGAGGCACATCAGCACATAACTAGATTAAAAAGTCACCACTACACATGTTAATGGCCTGGTTTTTCTTCATTTACCCTCTAGTATAACTGTGTGTATAAACCTGAAACAGTAAACTCTAGGAACTTTACCTGTGGGTGTAATATGGCATATATCAGTTTTGTGCTATGAACTTGGAGCACTTGCCATACATCTCAATGCAAACCAATAAAGTATCTTTTGTATCTAAGGCAGGAAAAAAGTATATATATCTCTGCAGTGCAGTGAGCTCTGCCAGCAAAAGAATGTTGGGATACTTTTGACTGCAACAATGAGATTATAGAAAACATTCTGAAGTGAAAAACTCCTTACTGCCACACACTGCATGTTAAGGACCAGGAGTGAACTCTGAGGGCTGCAGAATTCTGTCTTTGTACTGCACTGCCATTGATAGGTATTCTCATTAGAGGGAAAGTGATTCACCCAAAGTAGGATGTCGACAACTTTGCTCTTTCCCACACACTTTCTTTGAACTAAGTGGTTTTTTTATTGTCAAGGTCCCTCAGGATCACAGTTTATGAGAAACTTCATGCAAGTTCAAAACCTACTTGAGTCTTTTCTTGGTGCTGGTACTTAAATAAGGAAGGTTTCTTCAATTATTTAATTTCTACTTTCTAACAGCAATGGCTGCCTTCATTTTTTCTTCAGCTGTTTGGTTTTGTGGCACCACTGAAACGCTGGTATTGCAGGGTTTTGGTTTGGGGTTTGTTGTTTGGGGATATTTTTCTGAGGGTCACATCAAGGATAGCTCAGCATATTGAAAAGCAACATACTTAGCAGCTTACCTTCCCCCTCAGACACTGAATGAATAAAAACAAATCTAGAAAGACATTTAATTCTGACACCTAATGGCATGCCAGGACCAGACACACAGTACATACTTGACAGAGAAACAGTCACAATCGAGTGAAAGGGATGTGTCTCGAAATGAAGGTTCTTTTAATGCTCTTGTTGTTGCAGAACATCACAGAATATTAATAGAGACCAGTAAAAAAACCAGTATCACTTCCATCAGGAAAATGAAAACCAAGTTCATTGCACAGTCACATGACTCCCATTAAGGGCTTAATAGAGGTTCCCTTTACTGCTGGATCATGCTATAAATAAGCAGATGGTGGTGATTTTGGGTCCAAACTGTTGGATTTACATACAAAATGTCTTTGGATAGCAGGAAGAAGGTTGAATAGCTTTAAATTAAACAATAACAGCATACTTTATTTAAAAAAAGAAAAAAAAAAAGATGGAAGCAAGAGCAACAATATTATCAGTATGAAAAGCTCAAAGCCTGCAGTTCTGTCAATGTTTTAAAGCTGAGTGAGATAATACATAGTTAAGATTACTCAAAAACAGTAAATTGAAAAATGAGTGCAGTCTTGCTGATTTATAGCAATAGAGTTTTGCTGTTATGCTCTTATGATTTTATTTTCAAATTAAGACTTCAAATACATTCATTTAAAACTGAATGCTCTAGCCATAAGCCTGTTTTGGATGGTTCTGGTCACACAACTTGCATCTAAAGTTTTCTATAAGTAATATTTGTTTTTAACCCTACTTTCCAATCAAGCTGATGGAAACCTGACTGCCTTGATTTAAGCCCTCAGGATTTGTGCCATAAGATCACTCCTGCCTGCTGTTGTAACATGATCCTGCCCCAGCTCTTACAGCTCCTAAAAGCACACACACAAATGGAAAAACTCATGACAGTGTTGCCTACCTGATTGACTTCAGTCTTGAGCAGCAGTATCTACATCCAAAGAGCTTAAATACCAATGACAAACCATGTTATAACAATGCCTTTTGCTTTTCTGGGTTAATTGTGTCTAGTGTGGATGTCTCCTGGATGCTTTTACATCTAGATTCTGATGCAGTGTTTTGTAGAAATATTCTGCATGCAGTATTTGAGAGCAGCATGGGCGATAGCACATGGAGCATTTGCCCTGGAGCTTACGGACCCATTCGGTTGCCCTTGAATGACAAACTGATCCTCCAAGAGGGACAAATGGGAAAGCAGCCACACAACTGAGGCAGGATAACCCAGCCCAGCATCCCTCTGCAGCTCAGGGCTAAATACCACATGTTGTAGAGGAAGGTTGCTTGTAGCAGCTTATGTTCTCATACAGAGGATGAAACTACTTTGACTGATGAAAATGTTCTCCCAAGCATGATCCTTGTGACCTCATGAGAAGGCACAGTGTTCCCTACAGCTGTGGTTTTCATTTGGGTAGTTAAATTCCAAATGAATGTAAACTACTGGAAGGGAGCAGAGAAGCTGGAGTTTGTCCAGGTAAATATTGGCATGTAATAATTGCAAGTGAGCTTGTGTTTGCTTCTCTGGGAACGGTTCACGAAATTCATGTACAGGCTTTGCCTTACCCACAGCTTAAATGCAGCTGTCTCAGGGGAAATATGGAGGTTATTTAATAGTGCCCAGCAATGACACAAAACAATTTAGGGCAAGAAGAGAAGGCACCATATTAAATTAAAACTGCACAAAGCAAAATTTAGGGAGACAGAATGTAATTACCCAACTTGGACCCTGGCCAAGATACTGATGCTAACACCTTTATTATTAAAAAAAAAGGAAAAAATGCAATGAGACCCAGGAAAATAAAAAAAGAGGTAAGTCTTTGTTTTCAATCTCTTTTTTGAAAGATGGCACCTCAAGTAGCACAGTGCCTGTTAGCACTATGCCAGGGTATTGATTCAGTACCTACTAAGAAAGAAGAAGGCCACCCACTGAAGAACATGCATAATTAAAGCTAAAAAATGAGCTTCTTTCTCTGTGAAATAGAGAGTTCTCATAGCAGTGTTTCCCCAGGAATATACCATCAGGGAAAAAAATAGTTTGCACTTCACCTCCAAGGAATTTTGCAAAGGTCAAGCACTAGAGACAGCTGGATGCATTATTTAGTGACTTGACCATTTTATTACTGAATATTTCATTGGGTTTGTTTTTACAATCAACTATTTCTGTTCATGTTAGAAGTAGTTATCACTAAATCCCATCTTTATTGTGGTAGACAGTGGGACAGAGGCAGCCAAAGGAAGCAGATATAACCAGATGTCCTTGATGTTCAGCAGCTTCCAGTTCCTTTGGGTTCCTTTAGTAACTCCCACCTTGCAGTGATTTTCTCTGTGCTATTCTAGGAGATTGAAACAGAAATCGGGATCCTTATTGCTGCCCAGCAGTGTTCCAGAGAATCACTCCAATTACACCGTGAGGTCCTGAAGAGACATCATCAAATGCTTGCAAGGTTCTGTGGGCATATGGGAATAGGGAAAGGGAGAAAATCAGTTGAAGGCAGAGGTGCTGTGGTGGGAGCACAGTTTTGTATTCTCTGTGCAAACTAGAGACACACAGATTGGAATTGACCTGTATGTTTACCACAGTTATGATTTCAGTCATGGACTCAAATTCACCCTGGATGTAGCCATTTACCTTTCACAGAATGGGTGTCTTATTAAAGGAAAGCCCATAGATTTCACCTTGATCAGAAGTTTCATAGTTGATTGAGAAATCATTTGAGACTTTATAGGGACAATGTTGTACAGAGGTTCTTTTCAGGCTAAAATTAAAAAACCTCTGTTAAAAATATATCTTTGACCTTCACCAGGCCATTGTGCCATTTTGCTGAATGGGTAGATTTAGTTTTAGGAAAAGAGACACAGGAGGTATAGATAGCCTGTGTAAAAGTTGCACATTGTCATTTATTTCACGTTTGAAAATATGGGCACTATTTATCTCAATTCATTGCATGTTTGGTTTGATTTGGGTTTTTTGCTACTAGGATATTTTAATTTTCCTGGGTGCGTGCTAAATTATTCGTAAGATCAAAACTGCAGAGCAGAGCCTGACTTTTATGAATAAATACTAATAAGCACATTATCTAGTTATGTTAAGTCTTCACAGGCATCAGCTTCTACTCTATAGCTTTTCTATATATTATGCCCTTCAGAGCCTGTGCATTTACCAATATGATTTTGTGGGTATCTGTAGTAAGCTGGAACATTTTAGATTAATAAATTACATAGCAGCATTATTATGCACAGGTTGTGTTTGCTCCACAATTACAGCTAAGAATAACTTTCCACTGTAAACACAAAAAACATAGCTCCCTTTATATAATCAGAAAAGTTCTATCCACTTCAAGTTATGTTTAAGTAAAAAGTCACAGGATACAGGACAGGAAAATAAGAGGCTCCATCTTCCTTGGGCTTCATCTTAAATGCAGGAGTCTACACCGAGTTGAAAGAATTTCAGAATATAACAAATAAAGCCACAATACACCTACAATATCTGAGGAGAAAATTCTGCAATTAAAAGTGTTTTTTGCAAACACAGATTTGCACAGGTCCTGCATGAGCAGGTTCTTAATACTATTAAGAACTCTTGCTTGAAAAACCACTGTATGTTTTCAGTATTTGTGATTTTTCATGGATGAAAGGTTTTTCTCTTCACAAGACAATTTCTTGACTTTTGGTAGCTCTTATTTTGATCAATGATGAGCACTTTTCAGAGTCCTTACCTGTGGTGTCTGCATGAAAGAAACAAACTTTTAATCAATCTTCTTTACATACAGTCTTCCTTTGTTAATGAGTAGAAAAGGCTAGAATGCTTTTCTCTTAATCATATAGTAATTTCACTAATTCCAGCCTCCTTAGTGATCATACTACAAACCACAAAAATAAGCACTTTAAATTTCTTATGAGACAGAGACAATACTGTATGTGGTCTTCATTAAGATCCCAGGCTCTACCCATTATGATGAAGCATCATTAAAAAATGAGTGTGTATGTTTGTAAGCTTCTTGGCCAATAGCACACAATTACTGCATGTGTATAAAAAGAAAAATAATGATCTGATGCTGTAGCCAGAGATACAGATGTACACAGTCAAGATCCATTTGGAGCTTGGATGTGCAGGGGTTTCTGTGAGCCAGAGACAAAAAGGAAGCATTGGTTCATAGCTCTGAATTGGGATAACCTACCTGGAATTTCATCCACAGTGGAGACTCACCCCACTCCTCCCCAGTGCCTCTGCTGTGGAGCTGTTCTGCCACATGCAAAGATAGTGTGCAGGAAGCTCCCCAGCAGCTGTCACTACATTTCATCCCCTGTTAGCACATGAAGGGTTGATAGTCCCAAAACTACTTTTCCTCATCTTAGCACCAAACTATCCTCCAGCAAGTTCTAGCAAAGCCATCCACAGGGGACTTTGAACCACAGCCAGCCACTCCTGCTTCTACGTGGGATGGCCACAACATGGCCCCTGAACTACAGAAGCCATGTTTTTATAAAGCTCCTATGTAAGAAGATAGTGACAAAAATAACACCCAACATTCACATATTGGGATTGCTGTAGACACTTCTTCAAGACTTTTTTTTTAAAGTCCTTTTGCAAAAGTACTTGATGCAAAAAGGTTACATTTTGTTGAAGAGGTACCACCTTGGAAAAGAAGATAGATGAGGGTACAGCCACATCCACACTTCTGGGATCACGCTCAGTATTTAAAGTAGAGGGAAGGAAGAGGAATAGAGGGATATTTGGAATGATGATGTGTGTGTGATGATGACCACACACACTGCTGGGTGTGATGGAGTCCTGCTTCCCCAGGGATAGCTGATTACCTGCTTGACCATGGGAAGTGTTAAACTGATTCCGTGGGTTCTTTTTCCTTGACTGTGTTGCTTTTACTTTCGCTATTAAATTGCCTATATATCAATCCATGAATTTTCCAGCTTGTACCCATCTGATTGTTTCCCCAATCCTGCCATTGCAGAAGTGACCGAGTGGCTGTGTGGGGCTTGGCTGCTGGCTGGGCTTAAACCAGCACGAGGTTACCCCTACCCAAAGAATAGCCCTGATTCAGCTAAAATTGTCACTCCCATAAAGAGGAAAATACCAGCTTTTCTCTGAGTCCTGGCATTCTGTTATGACTATTGATTTAATAATCACCTTTTCAGATACTGTGGTGACAAGAAAAAAATTACAAAGGGGGTAGATAATAGGTTATCCAGTCCAGGATTTTATCTGATTTCTTTCAGTCTGTTGTAGAGTGATACAGCAAGATAATAGTACTAACTTTAGTGCAACCCACTGTAATAGGGGAGAGTCAGAGCCTGTAACCTTCTCATGGTAGCTTTAGTAAGTACTCCAGTATTCACTAAAAGAAGAAATCCCTCCTTGTCTTCTTTCTGGTATTTTGTATCTTTTAGTTACAAGCAAAAATGTAAAGAGCTTTGGTTGTCTTATTTTCCCCAAAGAAATGATTCTATAGAAAACATCCATTACTGCTTACTCTTTAACTAGATGTTATTCCCAAGTGCTGTGTAATCATTAAGTGAGCTTTAATTTAACAAGTGTGCTGCTCTTAGCACATTTTCACTTATGTAGTAGTAGTAAATTAACTATAACAGATTGTAACTGTTCTCCATCATTTAGCAATAAGTAAATCTTCCCATAAATATATTTAAAACTAAACCAAGGTATTTTTATAGCTCACCACTCGTTCTTATTTCTCATCACAGCTTAAACAATATCCATTTCAAAGATAAGATTATTTTTCATGCTGAGGTTCAAAATTTCACTTCATTTGCTTTCTGGTTACTGGGAAGGAAATTGCACCACCTGAGGTACGTCTCACTTGGCCACCTCTGGTAGATGAGCAATGCTTTGATAACAGGGATGGGAACACTTCAGTGGCCTAAGTGAATTCACTGGATCAATGAGGCATCGCTGCATTTCCACAGTGATTTCTTTCAGTGTCTCATAGTTTCACACATTTATATCACAGATTTTTCCTCGGTAGTAATCAGCAGCAAGTTTTTGAATGACTACAGTGCAAAGGGCCAAAAATACAGTAACCAAACCAGAGCCTGACATTTACAGCTCTCCTTTTTTATCTGCAGAGTTTGTATGTTAAGTCAAGGCTCAATGCTTGTGTCTAAAGAGAGAAAACTCCTTCTGAAAGACTGTCCTTATGTGGCACTTCTTCTCTATGTCCCTATAGAGATAGGAAATGACCATGATTAATTAGAATAGCTACTAAAGCAATTTCTTGAGAACAACGATGATATTTAACTTGAATATTGTTTTCTCTAGGGCTTTGCCCAGATCCTTTAGGATTGTTCACTTCAAAGGGGAAAAAGTGGATCTGGCACTTATATTTATGCTAGGCTGACATTGTTGGTTTGCTGCCAAAGAGGCATATCACAGAGGAACCAGCTGAGGGATCTCAGCCGCTGAACCTTGGTGCTAACCTTACAAGAAATCACTTCAGTGGTGACATGGAATATCTCTGTCCATTTGGTCCTTAAAGTTACAGAAATGCCATTCCAAGTTAAGTTAAATCACAGCTTTCTCATACAGGTACATGACCCTTCAGAATCCAACTGATGCCATAAGCTTGTTCCACATTTCACAGCCTGAAGCAAAGTCTTAGAGGATGAAAATTTTGCTTATAAAAATCCTGCTCTATCCTCATTCTCTTATTGCCCCCTGCATATCACAGACCTCTTCATAGGACATTAATCCTTTCTCTGGAGTTTTCTATATTGTGGCTTTGGTTTGGTTTTTGGTTTTGGTGGTTTGGTTTTTTTAATGGGCAAAAAGCAACATGACATTAAAAATAACTGTTATTCTTTCAACCTCAGGAAAAAAAAATGGTTCTGCATTTTAAAATAATTGAATTTTCATTTGAAATCTGTTTAACCATAATGGTCTCTTGTCAGTATTCTCACTCAGAAATGTTCTTCTGATTCTTTGATACCTCTTTCAGTTCATGGGGATTTAGAGCAAAATAGCTAAAAGAGGCTAGTGGAATTTGAGTTGCTCATGGGTTACATTAATTATTTTTCCACTGAGTCCATATGTTCTTCTATATATACAGAATGATGGCATTAGATGGGTAATAATCAGTGATTTCTTTCAGTAGTTTTAGCTGAATTGTGAGATAGAATTGTTCCCTGGAAGCTTATTTTCACTTGGCAAATGGAAATACATTCATCTAGTCATGCAACTGCAAAAGCAAGACAGAACAGGAATTTGGCCAGCATTTTCAACACTTCCATTTTTTAACATGTAGAAACTTTTATTTTCCTTTATATGCATCATCAAAATGAAGTCTTTCTTTTGGAATCTGGGATTTTTTTTTGAGGGAGGGTGTTTTGGAAGTAGCCCACTATCACTAGAAAATTCAATAAATATTACTGTATTTAGAACCTGGATTTCTGTCTGGGCGATTTCTATGTACAACAG